ACGTCCCGCGGGCAATACAAGTGCACAGCCGAGGCGGGCGACGCCCAGCAGCCCTAAGAGCGCCGGCACTGCGACACGCATCTGCGGTAGCCGCTGTATTGTGCTGTGCTGTGCTGTGTGTGTGCGTGTGTGTGTGAGCCGGGCGGCGTAACCAGCGTTTGAATTGAATTTTTCGGGTGAGAAAATCCGGTTGGGCTTTCACCCGGATTCTGATGCAGAATCCGGGTGAAAGTCGACCGGATTTCTGAAACTGGAAAATGTTGACCCGAAAAACTAAAGAATCCGGGTCTATAAGAATCCCGATTTTGGCCATATCGGGATTTTGAGGTTTTTCAGGTCAAGAATCCGGCTCTATAAGAAACAGCCATAGGGGGAGAGGTTTAGCGCCCTCACCGCTGGGTTCAAAAAAAGGGAATCCCTCCGCCAGACTCGTTCAGCAATGGGTCTGCGAACATGCGGGCGTACGTTCTCCGTTTCGCCTATATACGGGTAAGACGTATATCACGGACACTGTTGTGAAGGTGCCAGTGTGATTTTGTGTTCCTGTACCCGTAGTGGGTAGGAGGGGGGATGCAGATAATAGGAGAATTGAGGGCGCGGGATTGCGAGTAGGTGAGGCCATGGGTAGGATTGGTCGGTTTCAGCTCTGTATCCGATGGTACGCCATATTCATGCGCGTACATTTTGATTTTCGGAGCAGCGGTGGAAACCATCTTTGGTGTACGTGCCCAGTTTCGGTCGTAAGTTTTGATTTAGTAAAGCGATTCATGCACGCGCGCACGTTATATACTTGAGTGCATCGTCTTGAAACATGAACGCTTCCATCGTACTTGAGCACTGGTTGCCCCCTCATCAAGGTAGCAGTATGCGACCGACCGACTCGGACCCCCTGCGGGTCTGGTCAAAAGTTGTGTTTTCGTATTTTATGTGTGCGTGTTTCATTTAGGGTTTGAGAAATTTCTCGAGTGGCTTGTTTCGAAGGTCTCTCCTTGTTGCTCCATCTTGGACGTGCAGGTTTTTTTTTTTTCGTCTTCACTTCAAATCAGCGCTCACAGCACTAGCAGTGCCGTTTTGCTCCAACCCGTAGTCGCGCCGAAGAGCCCCTTTATTCACCCTCCCCTCCTGCGTGTTTCTTTTTTGGCGGTACAGTAGGGGGACCTCTTATAGTGCCGGTATGTGGTCAGAGAGCAAAGCGGCACTATACCGGGCACTGGCACTATTCAGAGTACAGAAAGACTTGATATTCCGGTGTGTGCGAGCCGAAAACACCGGCACTATACCGGCAACCGGCACTATATCGGGCCACCCACTGTAACCATGAATGGTGGTCGAGTAGATCATGTTGCGCGGGGTGGAAAACCCTCTCTCCGCGCAAGGGGGATGATGGCACCACGTTGTGTTCAAATGGTCAAGCACCCTCGAGGCAGTTACACAGTGCTTACAACTGTCTCTGGAAGTGGAAGCACCAGAACAAAAATTAAGTCATACGCAGCTGTCATCCGTACGTTAGCAAATAAGCACAAGCTGTCGAAAACCCTTCATGCGACTGGCCGAATACCTCACGGCGCTTCGCGCTTGGTGATGTGAGAGCCTGGTCCGGTGAGAACCCGGCGTGCTCCGTCCCGGCTTTGTGGGGATGCGAGGTCAATGGTCTAACGACTACGGCATGCACGACTATGAGTATACCCCCCCTCCTGCGATACCTTGCCTTTGATTTTTAATGCGGGAAGAGTTCCGTACTCTCTTCTTCTGTGTACACACGCTAATAGCGCTATCCACCAGGCCAGGAGCGGAAGCGAATCACCTTGTTGCAAGAAAAGTTCGCTTACGCCGGGGTTCGAACCCCTGGTCTGACCTCTTCTAATACCTGCTAGACTAAACCACTTGGGCGACTTGCAACACGTGGAGCACAAGTTTCATTTGCCACAAATGTTGACAGATTCTGCCACAACAGAAAAACATTTGTGGCACGCAGGTCGCTGATTGGTCAACGCACCTGCGGCTGAATTTCGAAAATTCAAAAAAATACAGGCACGACCCAAGATCCTTGTTTGGAAGGTGGCGTCATCCACGGTGAAATCGAGGATGGCACTTATGAGATCTTGGGAGAGTCGTGTCTCCTGATCATCTTTCTGCAAACTCATTATCTCGGACGACTACGAAAAGAGAGAAAAATATTTGTGGCACGCAGTTCGCTTATTGGTCAACGCACCTGCGGCAAAATTTCGTAAATTCAAAAAACAGGCCCGATGACCCAAGATGCTTTTTTGGCGGGTGGCGTCATCCACGGTGAAATCCAGGAGAGAGGTAAACATTTGTGGCAAGCAGTTCGCTGATTGGTCAACGCACCTGTGGCGGAATTTCGAAAAAAAAAGAGAGAAAAACATTTGTGGCACGCAGTTCGCTTATTGGTCAACGCACCTGCGGCAAAATTTCGAAAATTCAAAAAACAACAGGCCCGATGACCCAAGATGCTTTTTTGGCGGGTGACGTCATCCACGGTGAAATCCAGGAGAGAGAAAGGCCTTTGTGGCAAGCAGTTCGCTGATTTATCAACGCACCTGTGGCGGAATTTCGAAAAAATAAAAAAGGCACGACCCAAGATACTTGTTTGGGAGGTGGCGTCATCCACGGTGAAATCGAGGATGGCACCTCAGGAGACGTGCCTTCTGATGATCATCTTTCGGCAAACTCATCATCAACTCGGATGACTACGAAAGAGAGAAAAACATTTGTGACACGCAGTTCGCTGATTGGTCAACGCACCTGCGGCAGAATTTCGAAAATTCAAAAAACAACAGGCACGACCCAAGGTGCTAAAACATTTGTGGCACGCAGTTCGCTGATTGGTCAACGCACCTACCTGCGGCAGAATTTCGAAATAAAAAAAAAAAAACAGGCACGACCCAAGATGCTTGTTTGCTTGGCGGGTGGCGTCATCCACGGCGAAGTCGAGGATGGCAACTCAGGAGATCTTGGGAAAGTAGAGAGAAAAACATTTGTGGCACGCAGTTCGCTGGTTGGTTAACGCACCTGCGGCGGAATTTCAAAAATAAATAAAACAACAGGCACGACCCAAGATACTTGTTTGGCGGGTGGCGTCATCCACGGTGAAATCGAGGATGGCACCTCAGGAGATCTTGGGAAAGTCGTGTCTTCTGATTATCATCTTTCTGCAAACTCATCATCATCTCGGATGACTACAGAACGGGGATGGATGGAGATGGATCCGCCGGCCGACCGATCCGCGTTTGGTTTTGTGTGGGGATCGAAAGAATTTTCTTCTGCTGCTAGTCTGCTACTCACACGAGCACAGTCAACGCACACAGCAGTAGTAGTAGTAGTACTAGGCTGGACATTTTCGACCCCCACGCACCGCTCGCTGCGCATTTTTTCTCTGTTTTCTGGGGCTGCTGCTTCGAAATCCGGCGGGGGCGCGGTGTCCCCCGCCACTAGTCTACTGCAACAATGACGACGCGCACGACGATTGATCCCGCAGGCGACGGTAGACAGACGGAAGAAGAGACAAAGGGATCCACGATGCATCGCCACACACACACACACGACATCCAAGCGGTCTCGTCACGACTCTCACGGGCGGGCAGGCTAAGAACACATTGGTGGCTCCATCTATCTCACAGCCTACATCTGGCAGACAGTGCCTTCGACCCTTCGACGGCGGTGGTATCTCCTTTTCTCACGGAATCACAAATCTTTGTTTGGACAACGGATGGGTACAATCTGGATTTCCTGCTACTACAGTTGGCGCCCGCAGTTAAGAAATATTTTGTTGAGAAATTGAGGCTCACTTTTTCACGAAAAATAAGAAAATAGGGTTAAGAAACATATCTCAATTTGGGTCACACAATAAGAAATGTCTCAATAAGAAACACAGTTGCGACCACTGCCCTACTACAAAAGAAACGAGGGTTTACGGGGGAGTGTGTCGAATAAGAAACAAACCCCACAGCACTCTCGCTTTTTCCCCCTCGCCTCCGACCCCCCCCTCCCATANAGAATTATTTTGTTAAGAAATTGAGGCTCACTTTTTCACGAAAAATAAGAAAATAGGGTTAAGAAACATATCTCAATTTGGGTCACACAATAAGAAATGTCTCAATAAGAAACACAGTTGCGACCACTGCCCTACTACAAAAGAAACGAGGGTTTACGGGGGAGTGTGTCGAATAAGAAACAAACCCCACAGCACTCTCGCTTTTTCCCCCTCGCCTCCGACCCCCCCCTCCCATAGTGCATCATCATTTTTATTTATTTGTTGCTCGACGAGGGGGGAGTGTTATTTTTTGCGGCGCCCCCACCGGCCCCCTGCGGGCTCCAAAGACTATGATAACCATAGGCCGATCACTAGGGGGGGGGGATGGCAGGGGACGCCGTTGATGCGCGGCCGCTTTTTTTTTTTTTTCCGGGCTGCACCCAAATTCCGCCGCCTGTCGCCTGGCACTGAGTACCCCCAGTTCAGATCGGATTGAGCGGAGACCTCCGTACCTGCCGAGGGTGCCGCTGGGCTTGAGCGATGAAGCTACTCCTTGCCCTGCTTTGGGTAGCAGCTTGGGCTGTGAAAGGTGGGTTAGCAAAAGATTTCGACTGTGCAGACAGCGTGACCCTGCGTTTTGAACGCCTCCAGCAACCGACCCGCGTCTACTGGAGCGCGCCTAGCTTCGCTTTGGGGGTGTACCGTACGCAACGGCTCATAGCCGACCATGCTATGTGCATGTGAGAGTCGAACATTTTTTACGGTTTGGCAAACGATGGAGTATTGACCGAATGGCGGCAACTTGAATCAACACAATCCGTGAATCCGTGTACCCTGGTGAGACCGCTGGACAAAGGCCGCACATTTTTTAAACCCGCGGAGCCGACATCTCACACCCCCTTTACCTGACGACGTGGCACGGCTGTTGTGGCACGGCTGTTGTACTCTATTTCGTGAGCAGATCCCCTAGAAACCTTGTGCACTTAACCTGTCGAAGTATCAATGAAGTTGCTGAAGGATGGTTTTGTATTTCCCCATCATGACCCCAGCAACCGGGGGCAACGTATAGTCCACAAAAGCACAATTTTGCAAAGATGGGTTGGATACCGTCGTTGTCGCACACAGCCTTGGAGGCTGTTAAAAAATCATGTCCGCGCTCTTTTGCGGAGGCGCTGGTGGCAACGTAGTTTCACTTTACTGCTGTGTTGTCTACGTCCATGTGTCACTTTGCATTTGCGCCTACGCCCTGACTTTTATTCGGTTTCTCGGTTCCCGTGTGCCCGCCAGGTATGGATATGGACACCGCCACTGTCTCGACACCGGCGCGCCAAAGCTTGGGGACTCGTCCTGCGGTGACACCGACACAATCGGCCAAGAAGGATGAAGACGAGAGGCGTAAGCGCCGAACCTCCGGACCGCGCGCGGTCGGCACAGACGCTCAGCAGGCCACACACGACTCCACGAAGGTGCGCCAATCGACTCATTTGTTTTGGGCAGTACTGAGGCCGTACGAGGTTGACGGCACTCTGTTTGGTTTGATATGCGCGGTTTGAAGTCGATGATCGTCCTCTTTTATTTTCGCGGCAGCGGCCCCAAGATAACGCGCATATACGAAGATGATCGTTGGCTACTGTCTAAATATGCATGTTAATGCATGTTTATTCTTTGCAGGGGAATGGGCCGAACTACCCTTGCGGGTTTAAACCAGGTAGGGAGGGAAGCGACGGGGCGAAGCTGCCTGTGTACATGTTCCTCCAGCAAGGCGCCCTGGAGGAGGGCGTGCAAGAACACACCACCGCTGAAGTGCACGCTCATGTTGCCCGGTGGTGGTCTAGCTACGCGGACAGCAACGAGGACCGCGCTTTTACTGGGAACCGCACCTCGACCGGCAAAATCTTGGCTTCGGTGGTCAAGGTAGGTGTTGGTCAGGAGTGGTCATCGTATACGCGCTATTAAATGGACGTGTTTATCCAAGTACCCGTATCTTGCAACCTTGCTGACCCTCCTATGTGTCGGCGTTATTTTCATAGTGACTCTCGCGGTTTGTAGGCCGATTTATACATCCCGCGCCAGGACGAGGACCTCGCCTTCTACTACGGACTCAAGAAAAGCTTCTCTGGTAGGTCCACGACGTGGGTGCTGACGAGGTCGTCATTGGCACGAGAGCGAGCCGATGCGCAGTGGAGTTTTTGTCTGCCGGCAGGATGGGCGGAGGAGTACAGTGCTGACGGCTCATGGAAGTTCAAGACTAGCAAGGGTGGAACGCCCGTCTCGGTGAGCCTATCCTGGTGACGTGCGCGGTTTAATTTTGTCTATGTTGTAGAGATTGCAGATGAGTGGGTTAGCTGGCGTGAGAGTGCGTAGGTTACATCGCGTCCTAGTACCACCAAGTTTTTTTAGTTGCCACCAAGTTTATTTAGTGGTGCTCCTTCTCAAAGGCCCCGTTTTTTTTTTTGTCGCTTTACAGGTCTCCGTTACGAGGCCGAGAGTTGGTGGAGGATGCCGTGTGGAAAACATTACATTCCATCAGGTCAACGTGTCCGATATCTTCCAAGACTTGCGCAAGACCATCACCACAACAGAAGAACTCGGAGAGGTAAGAGTTTCACGAAAGCCAATCCTCTGTGTTTGGGTTAGGTGAGGGCATGGTTGGTGTTGGGTAATGTTTTATTTTGGTTGGGGTTGCTTTCAAGGATTGTCAAGGTGCTTCCCCATACCGGCGTTTGCGTTGTACTACGCGATTGAGTCGGTCCCGGTAGACACTACCGTCACCGTGATGATGTGCCCCGTAGACTGCGTTGGTATGATTCAGTTTGACGGCAGATTGCCAAACGGTAGGGCGGGCTTGGCCCACTGGTTGCCTCGGGCAAGCAAAATGACGGCGAGTGTTTCTCTCAATTATTAACTTTTACGTGTGTGCCATCGACCGCAGACATACTGGGCGTACAGACCTCTACAGTGACCCACGTGCGTTTTGCCATGTTTCCAAGCAACACCCGATCTTATTAATATCGTCAGATGTTGTCGAGGGTAGTGGACTCCAAGCGGCCGTGTGAAGGGGTACGGGCGGCTCACTACGCTGACGACTACTGTGGAGACGCGTTTGGCAGCACCGTGCGAGAGGCCCTGAGGCACGGGAAGCCCCGTGGGGTGGGGGGGGTAGGGCACTTCCCTGGTTTCCATCGTGCTGGAAAGGCCGCAAGCGCAACGCTTCACGTCCTCGGGGACGACCACGTGTTTCGTAGTGCAGGCTGCATTGGCGTCGCTACCGCTGCCGCCAAAGTTCCCCGCTGTTCTATGTGTGCTTCTTGGCACGCGGAGACCTTCTTCCCGAAGCTCAAAGGCGCCGCCAACAGGGCGGGGTTGAGCAGTGAAGATCTATACCCTGACTCAAGCGCCCGCACGAAAAGAAAAAAATCAGCCGACGCGAAAATGAGACCCTTCCCTTCCCACGGATTGTTCCTCTCCTCAACCACGAATTCCAAGCCACTGAAATGAGGATAAGCTTCCCGAAACTCCTCAGCGGATGCAACTTTGTGGCTGTTGGCGAAGGGCAATAACGCCGAACCAAGAGAACGCTGTCTACTCACGCGTGAAAGAGCGCTACTCAAAAGCC